TACAGTCGTGTGTCAGCAGTGTGTGAATATAAGCAGCTTCTAATGGTCAAAATCCATTAATTGTGTTGTTTATAATCAGACTTGATATAAACAGTCTGCAGAAACACTTTGATTGACATTCTCTCTTCGTACGTGTCATCAGAGAAAAGCCCCGCCCACTAGTGCCCATCTCTCCCTCATTAACATAAACAGTTTCTCATAGAGATAATGCTAGCCATGTTTTGAATCTGACGCACTGGCGTTTGTAGCTCCGCCCTCTTTTGAAAACAGCACAATCTCATTTGCATTTAAAGAGACAGTCACTAAAATGACAGAATCGAAGCCTAAAAGGGTCAGTTTCACAGTTATAAAACAATATCAGTGAGCTATTTTTTTCTCTTCCACAGTTTCTTTCCATCAAAGATTTGCTCCGAGTATTCTGCATTTTTATAAGCGGTTGTAACAGAGTTGACCAGAATGTAGAGACAGACACTAAATGTAGCCTCATTTTAGAGCAGAAATGACAAATAATACAGAAAATGAGCTTCCCTGCACTTTATATAAAGAACTCATTTAGCTTAGTAGAGTAAACTCAAAAGAAAAAGATCAAATTTAGGCTGCTTTCACACCTGTCGATCACTTGTTTTATTCCGAAACAGGGATTAAAATTATACAATGCTGCTCTTTGTTCTTGGTGCGGATCGCTTTCACACGGCAAAGTGTCTAAACAGACCAAAATAACTAAAACAAGTCGCGAGCGAGTAAACTCTCCTCACTTGGTATAGTTGAGTCACTCTATTCAAGACGAAATGTTTTTAAATTCATTCATTCATTTTCCTCTGGATTTGTCCCTTAGTTATCAGGGATCACCACAGCGGAATGAACCACCAACTATTCATTCCCTTCGGCTTAGTACACTATTTATCAGGGCTTACCACTGTGGAATGAACCACCAACTATTCAATCCAATCATTAAATCATTCCCTTTGTCTTAATCCCTTATTTATCAGGGGTCACCACAGTAGAATGAACCACCAATTATTCATTCCAACCATTAATTAATTTCCTTTGGCATAGTCTCTTATTTATCAGGGGTCACCACAGTAGAATGAACCACCAACTATTCATTCCAACCATTAATTCATTCCCTTTGGCTTAGTTCCTTTGCTTATCAGGAGTCACCACAGCGGAATGAACCACCAACTATTCATTCCAATCATTAATTCATTTCCTTTGGCATGGTCCCTTATTTATCAGGGGCCACCACAGTAGAATGAACCACCAACTATTCATTCCAAACATTAATTCATTTCCTTTGGCTTAGTCCCTTTGTTTATCAGGGGTCACCACAGCGGAATGAACCACCAACTATTCATTCCAACCATTAATTCATTTCCTTTGGCATGGTCCCTTATTTATTAGGGGTCACCACAGTAGAATGAACCACCAACTATTCATTCCAACCAATAATTCATTCCCTTTGGCTTAGTTCCTTTGTTTATCAGGGGTCACCACAGCGGAATGAACCACCAACTATTCATTCCAACCATTAATTCATTTCCTTTGGCATGGTCCCTTATTTATTAGGGGTCACCACAGTAGAATGAACCACCAACTATTCATTCCAACCAATAATTCATTCCCTTTGGCTTAGTTCCTTTGTTTATCAGGGGTCACCACAGCGGAATGAACCACCAACTATTCATTCCAACCAATAATTCATTCCCTTTGGCTTAGTTCCTTTGTTTATCAGGGGTCACCACAGCGGAATGAACCACCAACTATTCATTCCAATAATTATTTCATTTCCTTTGGCATAATTCCTTATTTATCAGGGGTCACCACAGCGGAATGAACCATCAACTATTCATTCCAACCATTTATTTATTAATTCATTCCCTTTGGCTTAGTCCCTTATTTATCAGGGGTCACCACAGCGGAATGAACCACCAACTATTCATTCCCTTTCGCTTAGTGTTAAATTAAAGATTTTGCTTTTGAAAAATAACTAATAATAATTCATCTAGGAGAAGAAAGAAATGGTACCCATATACTAGTACGTTACGTACGCAGCGCGTGCCACTCGTCCTGTCTGATGGACTTGGTGATGTTCGCCGGCAGGTATCGTGGGATATTCGGTGCCGAGTAGTAATACTTAATCGGTGTACATCTCTGAAGAACACCTGCAGAAACACACAGAAGCTTCACAAATGACCACAAGTTCATCAAGTAAAACTCAGGCTAGCGTACACATTGCTAGCACACTGTGTGTGCTGCATAAATTACAACACTGCTAGCATGTTTAAGCACAATTCTAGTGTTTTCTTACATTTCTTGCATTGTTAGCCTGATTTAGCACTCTGCTAACATCTTTAGCACTCTGCTAGCATCTTTAGCACTCTGCTAGCATCTTTAGCACGCTGCTAACATGTTTCTAGCATGATTTACCACACTTTTAGAACAGGTTGTTTTTAATCATGTGGTTCTGGTGACATGTAATGTTCAGATGGAGGGCAGGGAGTAAACATCTGAATGAGAGACAGAGGAAAGTCCATATTTTTGCCATATTTTATACCGTATTTCAGTGGAGATATATACAGAAAATAACCTAATATAATGGGCATGATCCTTGTATAATGAAGAAGGCAGAGTTTTCTACCGAACTAAAATATATTTGCCTGTCATAGAGGCGACAGATACTGTATAAGCCATTTAGTTACATGAAAAATACTATAGTAAATACTGTTTGGAAGCATACTATAGATAATTACGTGAATCAAACTGTCATAGTAATTATACTGTTGCTGTGGTACGATCAGTGGTGTAAAGTAACAACAAATACTCAAATTACTGTAATTAAGTTACAGTATAATTAGTGTAATTAATTTATAAATGCGTACTTTTCCCCTTGACTACATTTTTATTGCTTTATTGGTACTTTTACTCCACTACTTTCCTTCAACCTGCAGTCACTACTTTATTTTCATCTATAACCTGCTGAAAAATCCAGCTTAAACCAGCCTAGGCTGGTTTAAGCTGTTTTTTTCAGTAGGGATATGGATTAGAAAATTCAGTCTTGTGATTTCTGTCCAATCAAATCACTCAGAGAAGGTAAATCGCATCATAATGCACAGCCTCAGAGAAGGGTATAAACGGAGGTCAGAGCCAGCTCCAAGTGGGTGGGCCTTGGATCTCCAAGTGGGCTGTGCAAACCTTATTTAGTCGTATTTAGAGTTCAATATTGTGCTTTATGAATGTGTACATCTAACCCTAAACCCAAACTCACAGTAACCTGTTGTGTTTTATGAACGTCTACACCTAAACCCAACCTCACAGTAACCTGATAAACCCAACCTACTTGTGGTTTAAGTCCCTCCCACTTGGAGGTCACCCAACCTACTTGCGGTGTAATCCCTCCCACTTGCAGGTCTCCGGGCTGCAGCGATACCTACTTGCTCCCTCAAGACATGGGTGATTTATAAATGCAGAAAACAGTTTGAAAGCATTAAAAGTGTCCAGGAAGATGTCCAAAATCTTTACACGCCATGACCCAGAGACTGTTTAGATGCATGTCACTGATGAGAAAATGACGGATGTTTACTGTATGATGACCGAAATGGCCTTAAACACTGACCAGGCACAAGACGTCACCATGACATTAGATTGACGTTGCACCCCAACATCGTGGAGACGTTGCGTTTTGTTCAGAAATGAAAATCGGGTTAACGTCAGAACCAGTCAGGCCAACATCAATGTCCAACCTAAATTCAACCAATTATCAGTGTGTATGGATTGTGTTGTGTGGACGTTACCCTTAAGATGTCTATCAGACGTTGGATTGTGGTTGTTATACCTGACGAATAAATGTCAGTATTTGACGTCAATATGATATGTTGGCTCGACGTTGGATTTTGCTCACTTTCTAACAACCTAAAATCAACCAAATGTCAACGTCATTTGACGCCTTTATTGGACATCAAAATAACGTCATTAGACGCTGGCTAGACATTAAATTTTGGTCACCTGACGTCAAAACTTAAATCTAACCTAATAATAATGTATAAAGATGTTACATCTTGACATTGTGTGGATGTTACCACTACGATGTTTACCCGACGGTTTTTTGTTGCCATACCTAGTGAATAAATGTCAGCATTTGACATCAATAGGATGTTGGTTTAAGATGTTGGCTCGACGTTGGATTTTGGTCACTTTCTATCAACCTAAAATCAACCAAATATCAACATAATTTCGCGTCGTTATTGGACATCAAAGTAAGATCATCCTTAGACGTTGGCTAGACATTGAATTTTAGTCACCTGACATCACAACCTAAATCTAACCTAACAGTAACGTCCTATGACGTTGTGTGCCTGCTGGGCAATAACTAAACGCACTACAGAATGTTACGTTTACACACATCCACACATTACATGTAAACGCATCAGCTTTTCACAGCGTAATGCTCACTACTCTTGAGTACTTTTAAAAGCTCTACTCTTTACCCATACTTTGAGTAACAGATACTTTTACTCCACTTGCACTACATTAAGCAAGTAATGGTACTTTTAGCTGAGTATGATTTTTCAGTACTCTTTACACCACTGGGTACGACACAACTGTAGTAATAAATTAATCCACAGGCTTCAGTTTTCTATGCTATAATCACAATGCACCACAGTTTACACTAACGCTACAGTATTTATGACAGTTTATCAGTTTATTCTGTAGTATTCATTAACAAAGAGTTGTACACATTACACACTTTACTATGCGCTTCAAAAACACGCTTATTATAAACTACTATAGTTATTCCCATGTGGATATCTTCTGGACAATAAACTAAAGTGTGGACGCATATTATTATTTATTTATTTCTGTAAGGGGGGATGAAAACAATAATCTGCACGTGGATCTTGCTGTCGCCCGACTGACCATCACAACATGACGGCAGAATTTTCCTTTTCAGAACTGTTTCCTTCTATTAATATGATTCTGGAGTTTCTCAGAGCTCATTTACCTTCAAAAATCAGGTCCTTTATTATTTTGATGATGTTGAAAACCTGTAACCATTGACTTCCATAGCATTTTCTTATTTCAAGGACAGCTGAAAACCACCATTGACTTTCATTATCTTCTTCAGTGTTCAACAGAAACTGAGATGATTTAGGATTTACAAACACATTAGAATGAATGCTTTAATTTATGTGTGAACTATCCCTTTAATCAGTGTTAACAATCACAGCCTTGGATTTTAATAATGCATTAGTAAACGTTGAACTACATACAAGCGCTGTTCAATGTTTATGTGAGTAAATAGGCTAATATACGTCTCCCGTATTGTAATGTGTTCCCATACAAAAACAGCTCTGTGTTTTACCTTTAAAAATCAAGTCCTCCATCACCACGTCGAAGCCCTCCCGGTGGCACCTCCTCCAGAGGCCGGTGGTGGTGGAGTTGTAGTAGCGGCTGCAGTGCCACTCCATGACGGGCCCGAAGTGCAGCGCTTCCCGCAGAGCGGCTTCGCGCGCCGGCCGCCTCCGGAGAGGCAGGTTCTGGTTGGAGTTGTAAATATAGCCCGGGTATTTGGGGCTGGTGTATTTATCGCATCGGTCCCGGTGTTTCCGCGCGTCTGTCTCGTACCAGTAGTCGGTGCTGATGGCCATGGTGAGCAGCCCGATGGAGCAGAGCGCCAGGAAGAGCCCGCACGCCGTTAAAATCCTCATGATGCCCGCGGACGGATGTCAGGCGCTCCGCCGGGCCCATATCATCCTGAAGCCCGGTGGATGCGGCGGTTTTCGGGGCGTCAGACGGACATGTTTGCTGGAGTCTGGAGGAGGGAGAACCAGAACCAATGCCGGAGCGGAGACTGATGATGAAAACACACGCGATTCGCTGGAAGCAGCTGTTCAGCCGCAGATGCAGAACGCAGACTCCGGACACAGATGCTGCCTGTTCAAACTACTAACATTAAATGAGCTGAAACAACGCAATTCTGCAGACTTTTTGGGACGACTTAATTGTTTAATTTCATGTTCAATAACAGTTTTTGTTGGGACAACAAATGAATGCAGGATTCCACACAATTAATTCATGTTGTCCCAATAAAAACGATTAAGTTAAATCTGTTGAACATGAAATGAAACAATTAAGTTGTCCCAAATAGTCCTGTGAACCTACTCCATTTAAGTTGAAGTAATGAGATATTTAATTAGTGTTTTTTTTTTACTCAAATGGTTTGTAGCAAATTGAGCTTCGAGTTGCCTCAACTTATTTTGTTTTACAGTTTGAGTTCTTCATTTATTGGGTTTTACTGACTGTTAAAAGTGATTAGTTACTTAAAGCGAGTAAATTGCCTAAAAAGCAATTTTGTGAAGTTGACTTCACAAAAATAATGCAATCTAAAAAAGGTTGAGTTATTTATTTAACCCAATGGTTGAGTTACAAATATATGGTGCTTTGTTTGGGTTATTTTTTAATCTTTTTTAGGTTATTTATTAATAACTCAACCAGTTGAGTTAAATATTTGGTGCTTTGTTGGGTTATTTTTAATCTTTCTTAGGATATTTATTAATAACTCAACCAGTTGGGTTAAATATTTGGTCCTTTGTTGGGTTATTTTTAATCTTTCTTAGGATATTTATTAATAACAACCAGTTGAGTTAAATATTTGGTGCTTTGTTGGGTTATTTTTAATCTTTCTTAGCATATTTATTAATAACAACCAGTTGGGTTAAATATTGGGTCCTTTGTTGGGTTATTTTTAATCTTTATTGGGTTATTTATTTAATAACTCAACCAGTTGGGTTAAAAATTTGAATTTCAACAGTCAACTAACGGACACAGAACAGCTGTACTAATATAATGTTGTTTGTGGGTTATAAAGTTTATTTAAGCTATAACGTAATAATTTTGTTGTTATTTTCTAGCAAATTACTCTCCGTGTCGTGTTTTTATATCTGTTTTACCATCCAGGACTATCCTGTAGAAGCGTTTGGATGTGGTTAAACTGTATTGTAGATTGTGGACACTGAGTGAAGCCGGCTGCAGCTGCTGGACCGGCTCTACAGCACACAGAGCTCCATATTCTGCTCCATCAACACTGGATTTTCTGCTTGCACAGGTTATAACTGTCTGCACTTTGCTTTGTTTCTTCATTGGTTGTGATTCTGGATTTATTTTAACAAAAGCTGGAACTTAAAATAAAATGGAAATAAAGCTGCATGTTATTTATTTACCCAGCCATAATCAAAAAAATAATAGTAGTAATAGTAGCAATAGTAATACCAGAATGGAAAAAAATAACATTTATTCAAAATAACCCAATGCATTGGTTTAAAATAACCTATAGGTGGGAAGGTGCTATATGATAATCTATAGTTGGGTTATATAATGGGGTATTTTTAACCCAACTGTTTTAACAGAGTAGTAAACCAACTGTCACTTGGAACTGTTAAGTTGACTTAATTTTTATAATTATGCAAATTGTACCAACTTTTTAAAAATTAAAGTAAAATAATCACTATTTCCAGTACACCTTTATTGTATTTGTTTTTTTGCCAGTTTCAAACTCCCATGCGGAAGGTCGCCGGTTCGATACCAGCTCGGAGTGGGTTGGGTGGCGTAGGACTGCTGAGGTTACATTGGTGCCATGACCCGAATGGGAGTAAGGTTTACGGGGGAGAGTGTAGCGGAGGCCAGCTAGTGAAGTGCTGTGCAGGTAAACCTCACTCCTCTGACCTCTAAAGGTGCTCCAGCGACAGATGCTAGAGGCCATGGTCTTTAGCCTTCTTGGTAGAGCATCCAACTCCCATGCGGAAGGTCGCCGGTTCGATACCAGCTCGGAGCAGGTTGGGTGGTTTAGGTTGGGTAGTGTAGGACCGGTGGGGTTGCATTGTACCTGCACAGCCCCTACTAGTTAGCCTCCGTTACATATCTAGCAAAATAAGTTTGCTCTGGCAGACTCATTCTAAATTCAAGACAGGCTACAGTTACAGATTTTATAGACTTAATGAAGCATCAAATATGTAATATTGTAATAGTTACAGTACATATTTGAAAACAGATGTGCTAAAATAGTCTGACACTTTAAAAAGGGATTAGTTGACTTTTAAAAACTTAGTCAAATTAGCATAATTATAAAAGTTAAGTCAACTGGGTTTACTAACATTATCTTTGTGGAGTTAACTTGTTGCTTTTAAGGCAATTAACTTATCACTTTGTACAGTGTGTGCTCAAATTGCTTCGTTTACTCAAATGGATTAAGTTCACAGTACTCTTTAGGATTAGTTTTTGAACTTAAATGGTTTGATGCAATCGGTTTCCTCAAATGGTTTGAGTTACTTTAACCTTTTTACAGTGCCATTATAGTGCAACATTGCTCTGTATTTAGAATCTTATTGAATAGATGATTAAAAACTTATATTAATGTTACTTTTAGGTCTTTATTTTTGCAGTACTTCACATCAAATTAGAAAACAGTCTGTATAAAATAACAATTTGTTTTGGTTTAGGTGGAAATAAGCGCTTATAATCAGCAGAAGTGAACGTGAAATGATTCTCCTCATTGCCAGATGATGGAGGCAGAGCGTCAGCACGTGCTCAAAACATGCACAGATCACATTATCACAGCGATTCTTTAACTTTCAGACATAAATTTCACAAAGGTCTTAATGCATGCTGTCACAAGTACTCAAAAAATCTCTATTAATCCATTAAAACTTTACATTACGTTATATTCTTATAGTTAAATTTACTTGTATTTTTAGCACTGCCACATTGAACAATTTTACCAAGAGAAGATGAGGAAATACAATGAGCAGACAACTTTATTAAACTGTACTTGTATTATTACAAATACAAAAAAAGATGTTTTTTTGTAATGTTATTTGTATTATTAACACAAATAATTAGTAGAATTTAATTGGTATTTTTACATTAACACTATTATTTCTAATGCGACACTTATGATCTATCCTGGAATATTTAATCAGTGATCTTTGTAATCTAATTGTTTCCAGGGTTGTAAACCAACTGTCATTTGGAACTGTTAAGTTGACTTAATTTTTATAATTATGCAAATTGTATTAACTTTTTAAAAATTAAAAGTAAAACAATCACTATTTCCAGTACACCTTTATTGTATTTGTTTTTTGCCAGTTTCAAACTCCCATGTGGAAGGTTAGGGTTAGGGTCGAAGCGGGTTGGGTGGCGTAGGATAGTTGGGGTTATATTGGTGCCGTGACCCGGATGGGAGTGAGGTTTAGGGGGGGTGAGTGTAGCCAATATGAGTGTAGTTTATATATATATTTATATATATATATATATATATATATATATATAAATATAAATATAAATATATATATATATATATATATATATATATATATATAAACACCCAATAACAATAAAGGGCCCAGGACGGAGCCTTGTGGCACGCCATACACGTGCGCATTTAACCAAACAGTGGTGAATTTTAGAAAGAAGTTATAATGTTTTCCAATGACATCATGATATAAATATGGCGCCATGTGAAACCTTTATTAGTTTCTTGGAGATGGTGATTTTAGTTTTTGTCTTATAATGACTAATAATTTCACTAATACTTCCCAGTATGATCAGTGTTCTTATAGATCACCAAAATAAACCAACATGTTCACCAAGAATGGGAAAGACGATTTAAGTGACTTTGGCGTGGTTGTTGGTGCCAGACGGGCTGGTCCGAGTATTTCCGAAACTGCTGATCTACTGGGACTGAGATACCGTGAATCATAGCAGACTGGTTTCTTGAACATGTCAATGAGTTCACTGTGCTCAAATGGCCTCCACAGACCCCAGATCTCAATTCAATAGAGCACCTACAGGATGTGGTGGAACGGGAGATTGGCATCATGGACAAAATCTGCAGCAACTGTGTGATGCCATCATGTCAATATGGAGCAAAATCTCCGAGGAATAATTCCAGTAGCTTGTTGAATCTAAGGATTAAGGCAGTTCTGAAGGCAAAAAGGGGGGACAACCCGATACTAGTAAGGTGTACCTAATAAAGTGGCCAGTGAGTGTACATCTCAGGTATGGAGAACGAGAAAAAAACTGAGCCTCAGACACACCATCCCAGAGCTATGATTGGATTGCACAAACACAATGGTGCTTGCGGCTATATGTAGATCGTTTTCTGAAGAACGAGGAAATAAAAAGTTCTATGTGGAAGTTATGTAATGCGATATGCTATGACATCATGCCGAAAACTGATTTCCTGTTAAACCTTTACAAGTATTGACAACATTAATCTACACTACCTGCCAAAAGTCCTGTGGTCGATGCCAGTTGTGAGAGCAACAAACAATAACATAGAAGACCTACAGGAATCAGCATGGAGCCAAGATTCTCATCGAAATCAGTCAAGTTTGGTGAAGAAGAAATCATGGTTTGGGGTCACATTCAGTATAGGGGCGTGCGAGAGATCTGCAACATCAACAGCCTGAGGTATCAAGACATTTGTGCTGCACATTACATCACAAACCACAGGATAGGGCAGATTCTCCAGCAGGATAGCGCTCCTCATACTTCAGCCTCCACATCAAAGCTCCTGAAAGCAAAAAAGGTCAAGGTGCTCCAGGATTGGCCAGCCCAGTCACCAGACATGAACATTATTGAGCTGATAAAGGAGGAGACGTTGAACATTAACACAAAGAATCTTGATGAACTCTGGGAGTCCTGCAAGAAGGCTTTCATAATTAAGAATAAATATGAGTTTTTAATAATTTAGGAGTTAATTCTGTGTGTAACCATGATCTCGATGAATTAATTCCAGGTGAAATCTTCTCTCTTTCTTAAAAGCTGTTTCCAGGATTACAGTACGATTGCACTAACTTGATTTCCAGTACGAACATTGTGCTTGTGTGTTTGTGAAAGACCTGAAGTGGAGAAAACCTGCTCATACGTGCGGTCAGAGCGCAGTGCGGTTACAGTATGATGGCTGCAGTGGCTGTAACCTACAGGAAGTTTGTTCACAGAGATAAAGACCAG